TGTAGCATCATATGTGTTTGGATGTGGTTAATAACACCCATGGTGGTGAACTGAGGTAGATGGTAGAAGTTTGAGGGGTGTCCATTTTGTATCTTCCCACATGGCTTATTTTGACTAGGTACAATTTTCTGTGTTCACCTAGTCTTTCTTACAGACAAAAATCATGACAAAGCAAATGCAACATTTCAGTGTGTTCAAATTGTTTCTTTGAACACATTGAAATTTGACAAATTTGGTGACTTTGAAATGCATTTCCATTCTCAAGCTTTATAGTAGAACTGAGGTTATTAAAGTTCTGTGAGGGTTTCATAGTAGTTAGCCATTGGGACAAATTGATACTACGCTCAGGAATGACAGTATGCCTTGCTTTATTTTGGCATGTGTAAAATTGAGACCAGAACACCAGATTTTTCTTCTTTAGAAGTATGTATTTGATAACCAAGTAAACTGTATTCATTACAGAAAAACAATACACAAACATTTTAAAAAATAGAGCTATAATCCAAGGAATAACCACTGTTTAAAAAGCTTGACATATATCCTAGATTATTTTCAAGTATGAATGTTAGTATTTGGAGTTATAAGTTGTTTTGATTGCTTTTTAGATTTGTGCCCCAATTTTGACACTTGCTCATTATAAATTATTTTTAGTTGTTTTCAGAGCACTATTTATGATATAAAAAGATCTGATTATTTGCTTTGAACTCCTTTTTGGTGTGTATCTGGGTGTTGATACTTACTATAAAGAAAAAAATCTCAGCATGAATTCAGAATTAAAAGCTCATATTCTCGGTTGCATTCTGTTTTGGAAGACCTATAGAGAGTTGTCCATTCTCTTACACCACTAATATCTTGCCCTTGCCATGAGACATATTGAAGCCACAAGGGGAAGGATCCCCATAAAGCTCCGTCTCCCTCTCTTCTCCTCAGCACAATACACACATACACACTTAGGCGTGTTTGTCTGTCTTTGTCTCTGCTCTTTCCTTGTGTCTGTACTTGCCTGTCAGTTGGCCTGTCTCTCCCTCGCTGGAGCCATTCATCATACCCTCCTCATTCAGGGACACAGTGTGCTTTCCCTGGGCTGGTGCCAGATCCTGGAGAGAGGAGCGCTTTGAAAACTCAACTTGGACTCCCCAACAGACCACATTGCAGTTGTGTTCAGCATCTGGCCACCACTTTGTCCATTTAATATAGGGTCCCTAACCCTACCTATAATTTGCCCATTTCTCTTCTGATCTGGGAACAAACACTTTTTTAAAGCTAGATAAAATTTTATGGAAAATAAGAACTCACAGTGAAAGGATGAGGGAAGTCCAACTCAACTATAATTAAATTTGGTTTTTGCTCCTTGCTTTCTTGTGTGGGGGTAGGATGCTGTACTTTTCACAGAACAAGTTTCCAGTCCATGATATTAAGGAACAGCTTAGTTCAGTAGCATGACAAGAATTTGAGCTGGCACTTTTCAGCCAGAATCTTAGTTACTTACACACACCACACACACACAATCTGTTTCAAGTTTTAGTGAATGAAAAATTCACATGAGCTAGATTGTCATTCTTAGTTTTTATATAGTTTTTACTGTTACTGAAGTAGAAAATAGAATTTTTTGGAAATATCATTGATACATCAGCAGACTTTTAATGTTAGGAAGCTTTGAACCTTGATTTTCTAGTGCTGAATCCCACATTAAGAGTTAATAGGCAAGAAAAGATGCTTAACTAAAGAAAATAGGGAGGATGGACAATGATGGGAATAGAAAATTGAAAGTACAAACTTAAAGTTACAGTCAGTTCTGCTATAACACAACATGCATTCCTAAAAAATTACTGCACAGTGCAAAATTATGCAACAAAAACCACGAGGCATATTGGGAAAACAGGGTTATGGCACAACACTCAAAGACCTCATCAGTGACACACACAGAAAAACATGGGAACCTAATGAAAATAGTAGCACAGTCTTAACAAATGTTAAAGGGTCAAAAAATACATAAATACTAGAATAAACATGGCAGTTACCTTGAAAAGATCTGGCATTTGCTTGTGGAAGGCTTGGGAAGGGTTGCAGCTTGACCGTGAAGTGGTGAAAGGAAGTTTTCTGAAATTAGATGAAAAATTGTAGCATCATATGTGTTTGGGTATGGTTAATAATACCCATGGCAGTGAATTGAGGTGGATGGTGTAAGTTTGAGGAGTGTGCATTTTGTGTTTTCCCATGTGGCTCATTTCAGCCAGGTGTAGTTTTCTGAGTTCACCTAGTATTTCTTACAGACAAAAATTGTGAAAAAGCAAATGCAAAATTTCAGTATATTCAAATTGTTTCATAGTATATCAGTGGCTTTGGAATACATTTGCATTCTCAAAACAAGCTTTGTAACAGAATTGAGGGTATTTAATTTGATAAAGAATTTTATCTAATCATTTGATCTTCAAAGAAAATATATCACATATTTGCTTTGAGATACCTGCTTGCGAATTGATACCTAGAGTGTACTTCTTAAAAGTCACAGTTCTAGTTGAGTGTTATCTCTGTCGTCTGCATACCATAGACAGGCTATTCCTTTAGTGCACTGTTTCAGGGGGTACACAAGATGATTTTTGTAGATAAACATGGATGAATATTTTAATGTTTAGTTATGTTTATATAATAAGCTTATTGAACTTGAACTTACTGTTTAACAGATACTCTTGTTTGGAAAAATCTATCTTATCTGAAGATAGAGGTGCCCTGCTTTACCCTGGGGCCCATCTGGAAATGGATTGGGGGGAGGTTTCAGGTTGTCTTTGGTAGACAGGCACTACTGGTGATTAAGCAGTAAGAGACTAGGAATACTAACATTCTTGAAATCCTGTATGAAGAATTGTCCTGTCCAAAATACCAGTGATGCCCCCATGAGAGACTGGTTAATATTAGAGTACGGAGGAGGAGGAAATGATGGAATTGATAATGTAAATTAAAATGTGGAGTAAAAGAAATAGTATTTTATGTGGCTTTGGTAAGAACAACGAAAATAGTTTGCAGTTGATGGAAGTTTGGTAAACACTAGTTGAGGACAAGTAGTAGCAGTGAACTTTATTTGACAAACCCTTTAGTGCCTTATACCAGGTAGTATTCTCAGTGCAAAGCAGATGCTAACTTACTCAGCTGTGGTTAATGGGCCTTGAGGCATTAGCCTAGTCTAGGGTAGTGTCTCAACTATGGTTGCACAATAGAATCAAACAGGGAAACTTGTCATAATCTGGATGCCTAGTCTACAATCCAAACGAATTAAATCACAGTCTGAGGGAGGGACCTATGCATCAGTATTTTTAAAGCTCCTTATATTATTCCAGTAGATAGCCAAGGTTGACAACCACTGGTCTAGGGCCTTCCAAAAATCACTCCTTTTCACAAGAAAAGCTTAATCAGTCATGCAGAAGGTAATTGAAGACCTCTGTCCCATGCCTTACAGAGAAAGATGATAGAGACATGGCTCACAGAAGCTCTATCGTCTGAAGCAGGTGACAAAACTGCAAACTCATGTTTACAGTGCTGGCTGACAAGTGCTGATGCTTGAAAGTATGTTCAGAGTGTTTTGGGATCATAAAAGAGCAAAACTAAAATTTAAAAAAATCATTAGATGTCAAATTTAGAAAACTGTTAAACTGAATTTATTTTGGATTTTTCTTCCTTATACACAACTTTCATATTGGAGTGAACAAAAAGCAAAAGGCACTTATAAATCACTATCAATTTAACCTTCTTAGCTTGATTGTAGCCTTTGTGTAGTCGAGTTGGAGAATAGGTATTTTGTCTGTACATGATAGCTAGGATAATAATTTTGTCCTGGTATGGAACACACCCTTAAGTACCTTATAAAAGCATCATTGAAGTAGTGTCCTTCCAGGAGTAAGTCACCATAGTTTTACCAAGAAGCTCAGGACTGCTATAAGACCTTTGGAAATAAACTGTTGAAGTCTTACTTGTGGTCACTGATTCTCATGTACCTAGTGTTTTAAATACTCATATAGCTCCTGTATTGTGATAAGTCATTGTTGGATCACATGCATTTTAAAATTTAGAGTTAAGCAAATGTGTAATTTTAGATTAATTAATTAAAGGCAGCCATTGAGGCATTCAAGTGGATAAAATTACCAAATAATTTACTTGTTTCTGATGGTAACATTCTTCAACAGCTCTTGATTTATATTAGTATAGATTACCTTACTCTGAGAAAACCTGATTCTCCAGTGGATAGATTTATTTTCAGCTAAACCTTTGTAGTCTATACTTAAACATGAATTACTTCCTGGTTTAAAAAACAGGCGTAGCTATTTGTGGTATTTTTGTCTTGCGCCTTTGGCATCTCAGTGGTGTGAACCGGAGCTATGCCATCTGTAGTCAAGTGAGATTATTTTAAAAAGGGGTGGGGGGTGGGAAGTAAAATGATTCACTGGAAAATTTCGGCACAGATTCTTAAGGAATGGTAAGATAACCCTAGAAACATTCTTATTTGGTGTCATATGCTGGTAGTGATGGGGGGAAAAAAAGAAGGTACAACTTGTTTCTTAAGATTTTGCTATTTTGAAAATCAGAGAGGTGCTGTTAGAAAGGAAGAAAGAACTGCATGCAGTGTCAATTAGCAGAGCTCTGCAGTTGAATGAATAATTTTCCTCTCTTAGTGTGAGCTGGAGCCAGTGAGGTTCATTTCTAGCATGCAACACCCAAAAGGCAATATTCTCATGTTTAGGATGGTTGTTTAATTTCCCGATGGGTATATGTGATACAACTCTTGATGCTGTGATACTTCAGAAACAGAAGGGCCAGTTCCTAGAATGTTAAGTAAGTCTGTGGGGCCTAGATAAGCCATTTCTGAAAGCTGCTGGGTTTAACATATCTTCACTTAATGATACATTAAGTATATATATTGATTATATTGATTTCAGGGAATTCTTCCAGAATTACATTTGAGATTTGCATGAAACATGGTATCTTTTTTTCTTCGTTTTCCTTTTCAGAAAGAAGACATAGCTCATCCAGCAAGCCTTCTTTGGCTGTTCCTTCCACTTCAGTATTTTCCTTCTTCCCTTCTCTGTCAAAAAGCAAAGGAGGCAGTGCAAGTGGAAGCAACCGTTCTTCCAGTGGAGGTGTTCTTAGCGCATCCTCATCAAGTTCCAAGTTGTTGAAATCGCCCAAAGAGAAACTGCCGCACAGGGGGAACACCAGGCCAATGCATCCCATCCAGCAAAGTAGAGTCCCCCATGGTAGAATGTGAGTATGGCCAGGAGGGTTTTTAAAGCTTACCTGCTGGAAATGGAACTGTGTACACCAGTGGCATCTGAGAGTACCTGTGAATAGTATAAAAGAGAGCCCACTTAGGGAAGAATTTAAATGTATGTTACATTATTTCTCGATGTTTCCCTATCATGTCATAGAAAACTTTTCAGAGTAGTAATAGCAATGATTATAAGGTTAAAATATTTATTGATCCATTCTTGGGTGCTAGCTACTGAAACCTAACTTTAAGTGTGTACTGTATCACTTATCACAACAACCTTATGGAATAAATACAGTTATCATGCTCGTTTTCCAGATGAGAAGGAAGCCTAGTGAGATGGGGGAGTTTTGTCCAAGAAGGCCTCAAGACACATAGGTCTGGATTTATGTCCCACTTTTGTCACTTTTTAGCTGTAGGGATTTGGGCAAGGCACCGTTTCTTTCTGAGTCTTAAGAATAACAGCAACTGTGTTGGGTTATTAGGAATATTCTAGTTAATATATGTCTAGCACTTAAGTGTCTGGCCATAGGAGACAGTTAATGAATGGATACTGGCACTCCTTCTACTGCTGCTGTTGATAATAGTAATGATAAAAAGTTGCAGAGATTCCCAGATGCTGCTGTATAATTTTCTGGGGTCTGTGGAGCAAATAGGGAAGCAGTGCATCCTCCCATCAGCCTTAGGTTCACATCACAGCAGTGATGAGGGAAGTCTGAAGGGGGTTCACACCTGCCAAGTATGGCTTTGGCAAGTTTCCATGGTTGCTCAGTAGATTGGCAGGCTTCTTGAGGTCACGTGAGGGAGTGGCCACGCATTCCCACGAAAACATACCTCACCTTGTCATGGCATCCCTTAGCCTGGTGGTGGGTGGCTTTTCCCGGACCAGCCTGCCTTTGGAGGCCATAGGTCCAAGGTCTGGTAACCTGGTTAATCTCAGGGCGAGGTTTAACACCTGCTGCTGCATAAGGACCTTGCCAGCTGGGAGAGGATGTGACATCTTGCAGTGTCTCTACTGCTCTCAGGCTATTCCAGGTAACAGCTGTTTGGGGCTGTTTGTTCTGGTGACTAAGCCCCCAGCCCCTTTTATTCTGTCAGAATGGTTTTTGTTCTAGGAGCTGTCTCAAAGCCAGAAAAACTGCCAGTGTTGTGTGTAAGTCACAGCTAGCCTAACAGCTGTTAGAACACTGACTCCACTGAACAAAGTTTAAACAACCTTATTGATTCAGATCATCTTAACTTAGAGCTAGGGCTTTAGATAGGAACCAGGACAGTTGTTAGCTTCCTACCAGTATTTTCAGTTTTACCAAGCAAAATGATAGTGTCAATAAAATTCCAAGATGCATTTCTTTGTTAGTGGTACAGGCATTCCCAAACTCCTGTCATAGAAACATTTTTCAAGGACTGGAGAATTACCACTTTAGTAACACAACATATGTTTATTAAACACTGGTCTCCCTTATTGACAGAAGCAATGAACCTCTTTGAGATATGTTATTAAGCATGTTTGAATTTTCCTAAGTCTTCAGTGACATTTGTTGGAAATACTTGCTCATTTAGAAGTCTACTTTGTTTTGATGAATTCTTTCTTAAAAATGGCAGTCGTAGAAAGATTCTCCAAGGGTTCTGCAGTTAGTCTTTGGTTCTTTTAGACTCTACTTCTCATGTTTTGCTTCTTACAGAAATCGCATTGCATTGGGTATCAGGTCTAAGGCTCCCATAGCCTCATGTGTAAAATTTTTCTGAAATGATGAAAGACCAGGTAAATTTGATGTTCCACTGAGGGTTTTGCCTCACCAGCAGGGCTATAGACTTAATAAGTGTGAACCTTACTAACAAAATTCATAAGGAGCCTCCAAGAGGCTGGCCCTGTTCAGCACTTGGGTAGACCCAGGCTCTACCTCATCCCTCTGGCTCACCATTCACCTGGGAGCTGCTGAGGCACTCAGGCACTGGTTTTCTCACTTCCTTTTACGACAGCATGACGCCCTCTGTGAAAGTGGAAAAGATTCATCCGAAAATGGATGGCACACTACTGAAATCTGCGGTGGGGCCAACCTGTCCTGCTACTGTGAGTTCTTTAGTCAAGCCTGGCCTTAACTGCCCCTCAATACCAAAGCCAACCTTGCCTTCACCTGGACAGATTCTGAATGGCAAAGGGCTTCCTGCACCGCCCACTCTGGAAAAGAAATCTGAAGACAGTTCCAATAATAGGAAATCTTTAAATAAGAGATTATCAGGTAACTTCAAATTTTCTTTTTTCATCATACTTCTCTACATATTAAATGGGCATTTATGGGGAATAAATCAACTACAATCTAGAATTCCTATTTTTAAAACTGGTCAACCGCAGGAACTAAAAGGAAGTTCCTTAGTTAATCTGCTTGTTCTCTTCACTCTTGGTTTTTAAAGAGCGTGAGAATATGTGTGTGTATGTAGATCGTATAAAAGAAGCTTTCTAGTGGTGTATTTCTGAAGGAAATAATACAGACTTAAACAATATCTTTCCTATCATCTGATGGCAGTAGTCACCCACTGTCTTAGTGATGCTGCTGCTTTGTTGCAGTGCTCACATATTGTATATTCTTTATTTATTGATAATGTGGATTTTATTCCAGCTATAATTTAACTGTTGATTTCTTCTATTTTCTTACTTACAAAATACATGGAGGAGAGTTTGGCAGGCTGCATATAATGCCTGTGTTCTTTTGGCAGAAAGAGAGTTTGATCCTGACATCCACTGTGGGGTTATTGATCTCGACACCAAGAAACCCTGCACCCGGTCTTTGACATGTAAGGTAGGTGGACTTCTGAAAGTGAAGCCGACTGTCCTGATAAACATGGGAGACTGGGATGTACCACACTACTCCCAAAGTCTCTCTAACCCAGAGAGGATGCTCTGGGGATTGTTCTGAATTGTGTAGGTGAGGGGAAAACTTGGTTCTGTTGAAGAAAGCCTCAAATTGACAAAATGTGAAGTGTGTTGTTATAAATTATAATTTTGACAGAGATTTTGTTTCTTTTTTTTTTGAGACGGAGTTTTGCTCTTGTCACCCAGACTGGAGTGCAATGGTATGATCTTGGCTCACCGCAACCTCCGCCTCCTGGGTTCAAGCAATTCTGCCTCAGCCTCCCGAGTAGCTGGGACTACAGGCGCACACCACCATGCCCAGCTAATTTTTGTATTTTTAGTAGAGACGGGGTTTCACCTTGTTGACCAGGATGGTCTCGATCTCTTGACCTTGTGATCCACCTGCCTCGGCCTCCAAAAGTGCTGTGGTTATAGGTGTGAGCCACCGCGCCCAGCCTAGAAGTTTTGTTTCTAATGAGCAATGTTGAATCCAAGGCAACAGTATTCTTTCCCTTCCTAGTCTGTTATTTTTAAAGACTTTGAATATTTCCACACAGAAATTTAGTATGAGAGGCTACCTTTGACTGTCGTTTAAATAATACTGACTTAAAGCAAGTCCAGAAATTTCCTTTGCATGTGTATGAACATTTAAAAAATGTGTAACCCATGGTTCTTAAATTTTAAAGGACCACTTTTTAAAAAGTCTATAACTTTGACATAGCCCTATTTTCTAGTTAAAAAAAAATATACTGCAAGTCAGGAATACCTATAAGTCCCAGCTTGTGGGGAGGCTGAGGCAGAAGGATTACTTGAGCCTAGGAGTTCGAGTCTGGCCAGGACGACAGTATGATACCTATCTCTTTTAAGAGAGAGAGAGAGAGAAAAAAAAATAGGTAAAATATATTAATAATTTAAATACAGGCTAAGAAAATGTAATGGTTTTCCTTTTTGCTCTGGGGTCTTCCTTATTTTCTTTAAAATGGCAGTATGCTAATAAGAAGGTAGTATATTTGCTGAAAAGTAAGGATTATTGATTTGGGGGTGGCTTCAGGTCATCAGTGACACCTCTGCGTAAATGAGAATGTGTATGTGCATTTCTCTGGAGGGTGTCCCTAGCTATCTTCCAGAAAGATTCAAGACGTATTTTAAGTCATTGCTTTGAAGTATGTAATTTTAAAACGTTGGAGGGGGAAAGAGGGTAAAAATGATAAAAGTTAGCATTTCCTTCTAAAAATTAATAGAATTATTAGTGTTTTATTTTACATTTTATTAAAGTGTATTTGAATAAAGGACTTAGGGCCCTACCCCACCCCGGAACCAGTGGAGGCATGTTATAATCTTCTGGAATAGGGAATTTTTAAGTGGTTCTTATTTTAATTTAAGCTTCTAATTTAATTTTGATGTACAGATTTTGTCTCGCAACAGTGGTTCAGAACTTTTTTGGGAAAAGGGTTGGTCAAGGGTGCCTTTATCTCATTAAAAAAAAAAAAATACCATGCTCCATATTCCCAGAATAAAATAGTGCATACACATATGTATTCTGAAATTTTCTATCATGGGTTAATGGACACTCCCACCCTAAGCCCATCCTTGGATTTCTAGGTTAAAAACTCTCTTAGTACAAAACTGCTTTTGTTTTGTATAGGGTACTAATTGAACACACAGTGGTGTGGTGGTGGTCTATGAATATAGCCATCTGAGCTCTGTAGAATTATGTCAGTTTTAGCTTGCCCTTAAGAGAATGTGGGAAATCATGCCTCAGCCCTGCCACATCATGATCACTACTTGTCATTCTCCTTCTGCCCTCTTCTTGCCTCTACCCGGCTCTCAGTAACATGGATTTCTCAATAGTATAGTACCTACGGGCAATGAGGTTTGCTTTTTTCAAACCCAAGATGCTCTTTTTAAATCATTTATAGAGTGTGGCAAGGAACCACGCCTTTTTTCTTTTCTTTTTTTTTTTTTCCAAATTTTATTGTGATGAGAACACTTGAGATATCCTCTCAACAATTTTTCAAGTGTTGCAATACAGCATTTTTGACTGTGATAGAATATTATACAGCAGATGTCTAGATCTTGTTCATCTTGCTTAACTGGAGGTTTATGCTCATTGATTAGTGACTCCCTATTTCCCTCTTCCTTCAGCCCCTAGCAACTACAATTCTAGTCTTTAATTCTGTAAGTTTGATTATAGATCTCATATAAGTGGAATCATGCAGTGTTTATCTTTCTGTGACTGGGTTACTTACCTTAGCATAATGTTCTCCGGGTTTATGCTTACTGTAGCATGTTGCAGAATTTCCTTCTATTTAAGGGCCGAATAATATTCCAATGTATGTATATACCATGTTGTCTTCAGCCATCTGCTGACAGACATTTATATTGTGTCTACATCTTGTCTATTGTAAATAGTACTTCAGTGAACATAAGAGTGCTAATACCTCTTTGAGATTCTGATTTCAGTTATTTTGGATGGATACCCAAAAGTGAGGTTGCCACAAGTTTTTTTTTTGAACTCAAAATCTTCAGGAGCTTGACTAGCATTCTTCTTATGCCTTTTTTGCTAGGTGGACTGACTTTGAATGCATCTGCATTTTTCCTCCCATCTTCCTTTTTAAATGATGTGTGCTCCCATTGTCCTTCTTTAAGGGTGTATTACTCTCTGTGGCATGGCGCAAAGCCTGTCATCTCATTAATAGTCTTCAGCCCCACCTTGTCATATGAGATCAGAATAGAACTGGCAGAAAATGCAGTATCCACCAGGCCAGCCCTTTTACAGGATACCTTGACTTTTTTTTTTTTTTAATTGTTTTGTCAGTTCTTTTCCCTTTCCTTCCCTTAACTTTGGTCTGAATCTGTTAAGCTTGGTAGAACTAAAGATTCCTTTGTGTCCCTACCCTGAGTGTTTCCCAAATTGCTGTCAGGTCTCTCTGTCTTAGACTTAGAACATTATCTCCTCTCTTCACCATCAGAGGATTTGCTGCTATTTGTTCCAATTACTCATTCTCTATTGTCTGTCTGCCACCCTGACTGCCCCTTCCTCACTTTTTCATCTGTCTAATATGCTGTTGAATGTCCTCTGTGCCTTCCATGCAGAGAGATTTGTGACTCCTGTAGCCTTTGTCCATTCACTCATTGTAGAACTTTTTATTACATACATCTGTGAGCATAGGCCTCGCTTATTCTAGGTCCCGGGGGATAAAGGTTTTAGCACAGTCACCATGTGTTCCCTCTGCTTGTGGAGTATATAGTCTAATGAAAGAGATGGAGATTAATAATCACCAAAATAAGTATAAAATTATCACTGATGAGTTATAAAAAGATGAGAGGACTACGTTATGAAAGCCTGTAATAGGGAAGTTTGGCCAGGGAAGCCTTTCTTGCCATAGGAACATTGGGCTGAAATCAATATGAAAATTTATCTGGGCAGAGAAGGATGGGAGAGGCAGGAGAGGTGGAGGAAACATTATGTGTGAAGGCTCTGTGACAGGAGCAGAACAAATTCCTTAAAACCTTAAAGCCAGCCAGGTGGTTGAACAGAAAGAGGGAGGGAGAGTTACATGAGACCATAGGAGCAGAGAGCAGTAAGCAAGGGTCTTGAGAGTATGCAGGGCCGCAGAGTCTAGTTACACAGTCAGTCTTCATCCTGTGAGCCTTGGGCAACCTCCATTGGATTTCTGTTTGGAATGGTCTTCACAGCTCAGTGGAAACCCTACTTACTCTTCAAAATGAGCTGGGAAAATGTTGTATCTGCCTGCTTTCTTCATTTGGCTTTATTGTGCTAGGCCCTGGGGACATTCAAGCTGAGGAGAGGTTTATACATCTGCTTGGAGAGACACGCAGGTGTATTAGTAATGTTTTATGTTCATTACATTGGAGGGCCATTATTTTTATAAACTTTTTGTTCGAAGCATTCATTGAGTGTCAGGTGTTCTTCTAGATGTTGGTATAACACAAACAAAACAAAGTTCCTTGTCTTCATTTAGGTTACTTTCTTATGACTGTTTTCCATATTAAAGAAAATCAAGTAAAAATGTAAAAAGCTAAGCACATTTGTGTGTGCCAGGTTCGTTTATTTAGGTAGACCTAGTTTGCAGTGTGTCGTAAGGAGGTGGGTTGTGTTAATCAACTGAAAATGGAAGTTAGAAGCATAATTTCCCCTTTAAGTCCCTAAAGTTGTAGCAAATATGCCAATACATTTTTATTATGTGTAGGGGCATGCACACACACTTTTACAGTATTTTGTAATATAAAAGAAGGAAATGTGGGTGAATTCATGTATGTTTAAGGATATGTGGTTAGGGGCCACTGTAGCTCATTTAAACTAGTCCACTCTTCAGGATTAGTGTCTCCTTGCATTTGTACAGACTGAGACCTCAGCAGTGTGGCATGGTCAGGTTTAACTTGACCTGAAAAGTCATTTCACAGTGATTGGACTTGACTGTCAATAAGGTTTGCCCAACCCTCACCAGTTCACACCTGTATATTCAACTTTTATCTTCTGTTAGCAATGGAATAGGCTTATTTGTTTTTGTTTTTGTTTTGTTTTAATGCCAGTAACTGTGAAACGTGTTTGGACTGCACACACATTTGTTTTAAGGTTTGCTTCAACCACAGGTTTCTATTGGTTGTCGTCTTTAGACAAACACTGCCATAATTTGACTTTCTCTTTTTCTCTGTGTGTTCGTTTCTTAATTCTGAAATTAGACATTGTCTGAAGACTGAGGGTTGTTGCCATCCCATTTCCTTGCTTTCCATAGCCAGTGTCTGTAGCGATTACTTTGTCTCCCTTCATGTTGATAGCATTTCTTCTCAGCCTCATCTTCTAGCTGGTGTTCCTTGGCTGTGGCAGTCTGCAGAATGCTTTGGGCCACTTTCTCTTTTTACATGGCATTTTTGTTGGAATAGAGAGACGCAATTGCATTTAATTTTTACGTTCTGGAATTTACTAAAAGAATACTTTCTGATACATGTTTTATGGAATAATTGTTTCTTTAAATTAACATGCAGAATTTTAAATGGTCTGAAGAGGGTTTTTCTAATGGAGTTGATAAGAGCCCCCAAAACCAAATTGTTATTATGTCACAAAACATGAGTACTTGTCATATGTCACTAATGGTTACACTTAGTTCATACCAGGTGTCACAGCTCACATTTCTTTTTTCTTCTGATGGAAATAACATTTCCATATTCTTTTGCATTTAGAGCCTAGAATGTGTGCTTTTGGTCTAGCTAGGGAGAAAAGATTGGGCCCTTATTTTAGCTTATCAAGTGCTGAGTAACCTTTCACTATGCTTATGGTCTAGATTACTTTTTTATTGGGAGTGGTGTTTTGGGATATAAGGCAGACCAAAAATTATTAATGAGATTCTTCAGTTTCTGTATGTCTTTGGTCCGCAGACACATTCCTTAACCCAGCGCAGGGCTGTCCAGGGTAGAAGAAAACGATTTGATGTGTTATTAGCCGAGCACAAAAACAAAACCAGGGAAAAGGAATTGATTCGCCATCCGGACTCTCAGCAACCACCGCAGCCTCTCAGGGACCCGCATCCCGCCCCTCCTAGAACGTCACAGGAGCCGCACCAAAACCCTCATGGAGTGATTCCTTCCGAATCAAAGCCTTTTGTAGCTAGTAAACCTAAACCTCACACCCCCAGTCTTCCAAGGTAAGCCAAGCCCTCCGACTCTTTCTCCCTCCTTCAGAGATGAGACTTTCAAATATCGCAAAACCTCAGTATCATCATGATGTTGAGAAACATACCTCAGGCTCATTGTGGAGATAGTTTTTTAAGGGAGTTTTGCTTTAAAAAAAAAAAAAAGAGATTGAGTTCATCAGTAAGTTTCAACCAGGGCTCCTCTTTGTTGTAAATGCAAGCAGTGGAATATAGTTAAGAGTTACCTAGTCTATACTTGCTCAACATCAAGTGTCTCAACCCTGTTGAGCAGGCAGAAATTGGGTCCTTCTTAGGGGTTAGTGATGGGAACACTTCACATGGCTTTGGCAGCAGTTTCACTCTTTTGTCTTTATATAGCAGTGGTAATTCTTGCTGTGGGGACAGGCATTCAGCTTGGATTTTTACAGCATCCATTTATCAATGTGTTTTTTCATTCATTCATTTGGGGCTTTGGTCCGAGCATGTGTTAGGATTTTAGTAGCAGAATAAACAGTGGATCACAGTGTTTTAATGAGAACTTACACCTCAGAGACAGTGATAGTGGAATGTGTGTTGGGGCTTACATGTTGAATCAAGTTGAAGTAAAGACTACCTAGTTTCCAGAGGGAAGGGAAAGAGAAAGACGTGGAGAAAGAGGGGCTTCAGTGTTGGCATTTATTGGCAGCAAGAGCTTCTGCTGAGGAATGTGCCAGCCCTTGGTTGCTATTACTTACTATTTCAGCCTCACGTGTCTGATCCTTAAAATGGTTGCCTAAAGGTGGAAGCACCTCTCTCATGGAGACACAGGTGTCTGTTTGAGCCTATCCCAGCATGAACCTTGTGGTTGTTGTGCAATATGCTGGAGGAGCCATCAGAATAGGCTCCCCAGAGTGTGGTCAGGAGCCATCAGAGTAGGCTCCCCAGAGTGTGGTCAGGTTCTGGCCAGAGATTCCTCCCCAAGTCCTTTCTTTGGTCATCTCCTTGTTGAAGTTTTTGCATTTAGAAAAATGTAAGCTAAATTCCAGAACCATGAGGCCATTAAAGGTGTAGGAAAAACACATTACTGCCCTTGAGTAAGAGGCTGTAAGGTATCCACATAAAGTGGCAATACCACCTTATTCTTCTGTCACTTCCTTTCTCTTCTAGGTTATCTTAGAGCACTTTGAGAATTATAGTTGGCCCTCTGTATCCATGGGTTTTGCATCTGTGGATTAAACTAATTGCAGATTGAAACTATTTGGGGAAAGAAAAATTGTGTCTGCACTGAACACGTATAGGCTTTTCTTGTTAGTATTCCATAAACAATATGTTACATAGCATTTACATTGTATTGGGTACTAAAAGTAATCCAGAGATTATTTCAAATATATGGGAGGATGTGCATAGGTTATATGCAAATACTACACCATTTTATATCAGGCCACTTTGTACATTTGTGGATTTGCTGATTTTGCTATCCCCAGTAGGTTCTGGACCCAATTCCCCATGGATACTGAGGGATGACTATGTTTCATTTATTGTCTTAGTAAACCAAATCCAGTTGAAATTTGAAGAGGAATCAAAGAATTCTGTTAAATTCCACATGTATATCCCCTTTGGGGGAGAATAGAAGAAGGATCTGAACCACCCAAATGGCAATAGAAAGGATTTGTTCTAAGTTACCTTGATTATATCTGGCAAACAGCTAAACTTAACATCCTGCAGTTCAGGAGAGAACTTTACTCCCAAGCCACCTGGATCAGCATCTGTTTTCCCCCAGTGCTAGTGGTGGAACCCAGGCCTCCCCTAGGCTGTTTTGGATACATTGTGGTATCTCAGTTAAGGTGGCTGATTGCCAGGTGTGTGATCTGATCCGTGCTGCACTTTCTACTCACCAAGGCCTCCAGGCTGCCCTGCTCAGCAAGGTGGGAGTGCCCCCATTGACCCTCCTCCAGTCCATGAATCTCCACACCCTCCCCTGCCTGCCACTGAGCCAGCTTCTCGGTTATCCAGTGAGGAGGGCGAAGGCGATGACAAAGAAGAGTCTGTTGAAAAACTGGACTGTCATTATTCAGGTCATCATCCTCAGCCAGCATCTGTAAGTTCCACGTCCACCCCCGCGTTGACCCTCCCCACGCAGCATGGACAGGGCACTGCAGGGGGGCGCGCCAGGGACCTTGGCATGCCCGTATGTGTGGGACGCGGTCAAGGTGTGAGAGCAGCTCAGAACAGGGTGCCCCGGAGGCAGCACACACTCTGTACTGGGGACGTCTCATGATTTTTTCCCTTTCTCTTCCATGACACTCAGGGCTAGGCATTGTCACTCTCATGCTTCACAGCCTCCGGTACTCAGAGGCAGTTCTGTCTTTCCTGATTAGCTCCTTTCCTGAAGGAGAGAGAACCCTGACCAGGCATGCCAGTGTGGGAGTCAGCAAGCACGCGGCTGTTCTCTCTTGCAGTTTTGCACATTTGGGAGCCGGCAGATTGGAAGAGGCTATTACGTGTTTGACTCCAGGTGGAACCGGCTTCGCTGCGCCCTCAACCTCATGGTGGAGAAGCATCTGAATGCACAGCTATGGAAGTGAGTGCCTGTTGTTCTTTGGGAGAGGATCTGACTTTACACAGTGCTGCATTGTCGTCCTGTTTCCTGTGAAACTGATGTTATGAAGATAGGCTTATCTAAATGAAGCTGGCCTTTGGCCCTGAGAAGAAGGTGCTTTGTCATTCATTCATTCATTCATTCATTCGTTCGTTCCCAACTACGTATTGTTCTGGATGCTGGGGTTCAAAGCAGAAGGACTGACACATGTGGAGGTCACCATCTAGTTGGGAGTCAGTGAGGGGAGAAAAAAATTGTCTACAGAAGAGTAAGGAGATGATAGCTTGTCCTAAGGGAGAGAATGGAAACAATAACAATCACCAAGACTTACTGAGAGCCAGCTTTATACCAAAGAACTTAAATATATTTAACGTTCACAATTCTCTGTCAGGTGACCATGATTATACCTTCCCCCCGACTCTTGTTTTGCTTTTTTTATAGGTAACAAAACTGAGATACAGTGTCATGCAGCAAGTTAGTGGTACGGCCAGGACTTGAACTTAGTGGTAACTTGTTTTCAAGTAAAGAGCTGAAAATATACAGGCCAGGGGGATTCATGGAACACCTGTCTGAAGAGGCAGTCTTTGAACTGAGAAGGATGAATGAGAAAGATCAGCCACTGGGATGTGGGCAGGAATGGGTTCTAGGCAGAGGAAGCAGCTGTGTCAAGGTCTTGAGTCAGAAGAGACAGCTTGTTTGAGAGACAGCAAGAAAGTGAGCATGGTACAAGATGAGGTCCAAGAAACCAGCACGGGCCAGGTAACACAGAAATTGCTTCAGTTGAAGGTTTTAGGTAGAGGAGCCATGTGCTTCAGTTTGCAGTTTAAGACACCTTGTGTGGTATTGTGTAGCTAGTACTTCCCAAACAGGATTTTAAGTGGAAGAAGAGTTCCATGGCCAAAAGGTTTAACTTTAAAGGCTTTCCTGAAAAGGAAAAGAAAAAATCGTTTTTTTTTTAACTGCAGAACTTCTCAGAGCCTTTAATCGGCACTGTGCTTTGTAACTCTTGAAGCAGGGAATGTCATGTGTAGTGTGGAACATGTCCCAAGCTCTTTTGACCTTGGAACCATTTTTAGAGGAACATTTTGGAGAAGTAGTGTTTGGTGGGACTGACTTTGGTGAATAGTAAGCTTTGCTAAGGTGACTGTCCAGTAAGCAGCTCATCCCAGATCCTCTGTTTGGGTATCATTTACTAGTGTCTCTTTAAATGGACTCTGCCAGTACATTCATTTGCCTCCCTGCCTTGGTTTTCTAAAGTCAGATACTGTCGGAGGCCTTGGATTGTCTACAACCCAAAGAACTATCTCCATGATCATTAGTAGGACTTAATATTTGTTTCCTTAGAGGACCAGGTCCAGAGCACTGTTACTCTACTTTTCTTTTTCATGTTTTTTCCTGGTTCTTACTGGATAAGAGATTCTTATTTATGAAGGAACATTGTCCCTGCCTAGACACAGAATCAGGGGAGTGGTTTTGGGCATTCTCAGGGTTTTTTCCATATCAGAACTCCCTAAGATACCTGAAATCTCAGCTATATAGTTCTTCAGACTACCCATTGGAACTTGGAAAGCACACTGAGCTCATGAATCTATGGGTTTAGTGTACTCCTAAGAGTTTATAAAGGACTTCTGAATGTTTTATCTCCATTATGTGCCTCATGGCCAACAGTTTGGGCAGATAGTTTCAGTTCCCAGTGGCTTGGATGGTGAGACTTCCTTCTTGATGTTGTGAACTTTTTAAAAAGCAGGATCATAAGGTTGACTCTGCTGTCTACTCTGTTCTGTCTGAAGGCTGCCTGCCTTACCCCTTCCAGGGAGAAGGAAACCGACCCTTTTCATGAGCACAACCATTGGTTTTAAAAAGTCAGTACAGCAATAAGAGACGTGTTGCCCAGTAATGAGCTGGCACATAGGTTTGGGGCAGATGGGAACTTCCTGCATGATGCCACCCCACATAGGAGTGCTGGCGGCCTTTTCAGGCAGCCCTTGAAATTTGCTGCGGGGAGCTCAGTACTTCTCACCCAGAGAACTGTTCTCACCTGGCATCTTCGAAGCACTCAAGGAAACTTTCAAAGAGGTCCAAGTCCCATCCTACTGGCTCAGCCCAAAATTCTTCCTTACAGGGTTATTGTGGTAAAATTGGAGGTAAGTAAAGTGGGAATTGAGCATGAAAGCGTAATCTCCAGTTTCTGGAGTTTGGCCAGTGGTGAAATTAGACCAGCACTTTCTCTGCAGCATGGCCATAACCCAAAAGGCCCCTGCCCAGCTCCTACGATTTCTGTGAACTGCTTGTCCTCTGTTGATTAGGGACCACTATCCCATACCCCTAAAAAGGCGCTGGGATGGTTTTCAAAGGATTTTTGTTGGTGGTAGTTTTTTTTTTTTAACTTTTTGAAATGGTAATACAGTCATTTGGCTTAAAAAGGGAAATACAAGTATTAAAAGGCATACACTGAAAATGCACAGTCCTCCTGTCCCCTACCTGCAGGTTTTCTACTCAGTCCTCAGACATTTTTATTATTTTTTGATGTATCTCTACAGAGTTTATTTATGCAAACACAACTCAGTGTGAGTACATATTGTTACCTTGCCTCTTTATACACAAAAAGGTAATGAACTACTTAAAAGAGCTTTTCCAAGAGGAACTTACAATTGCGTCTCTCAGAGATCCATGTCCTTCCCTGCTCCGGAAGGCTTTTCTTACCTCAGGATTTGGTTCCAGGCAGTCTGGTCTTTAGTCTCTGGCTTCCTGAGCCACCTGGTGGTCATGAGAAGCCAGTGCTCCTAGTGAGCAGTGGCGCTTGGACTTTAGGGTAGGGATTCTGGATGCCCCCGAATCACCCAGGGGCCTTGTTGCCCTACAGATTCTGATGCATTCGTTCTAGGATGGGGCACAGAAACTCAGCTTTCCTAACCAACCTTCCAGGTAATTAATGACAATGCCTGCCACCTTCCTCTATGAGTAGTGCAGAGAGAGAGCCCTAGCCTCTCAATCTTGGCTCCACAGTAGAATCCCCTGGAAAGATTTAGAAATTACTGATGTCTGTCCCGCACTCCCTGCAGAGACTGGTATAATTGGTATGGATGTGGCTTAAGCTCCACAGGTGACTGTAACATGCAACAGCTGGAGTTGAGAAGCACTGATGTCAGGCCAGAGCTGCATCCTTAAATGGGGTTTTGGGGTTTTTTGTTTTGAGACAGTGTCTCACTCTGTTGCCTAGGCTGGAGTGCGTTGGCATGATTTGGGCTCACTGCAACCTCCGCCTCCCAGGTTCAAGCAATTCTGCCTCAGCCTTCTGCGTAACTGGGATTACAGACGCATACCACCATGCCTGGCTAATTTTTGCATTTTTAGTAGAGATGAGGTTTCACCATGTTGGCAGGCTGGTCTCGAACTTCCGACCTCAAGTGATCTGCTCATCTTGGCCTCCCAAAGGGCTGGGATTACAGGTGTGAGACACCATGCCTGGCTGAATGGGATTTTTAAAGCATGGGCAAATACTTGGCAGTCATTAATTCATTTTATTAATAACAGTTGTCTTTAAAAGCATCTGGAAAGCATTGGGCAGCAGTCTATGCCAGCTCTCTCACTGGGGTAGTGGCCAGGTCTGCCAGGGCTACCCCGTAAGTCAGGATCAAGGCAGTCTTGGCACTTGCCTTCCAGTCAGGCCTTTTTCTCTTCTGCCCACTCAGTTTAAATTCTGCCAAAGAAGTTTTTGAAATTGTGGTACTGTCACATTTAAGATTAAGGGCTAAAATAAAAGGAGACGTTCCCTAGTTTGAATGTAGATGATTTCCTCATCCCCTGAAAAATACCTTGCCCAGACATTTTTAACAGAATCCATTGTTATAACACTATGCTGAATATCCCTTGAAACTCTGGGACTTTTTCCCTTGTTCAGGCCAATAGTTATGACCTCGAAGTTGCTATTAATTAGCTGCACCCTTCCTTTTCTCTCATTTGTTTCTGAATTCTGTCAACATTTATTGAGTGCCTTCTGTGTTTCCTGCACTGCTGAGCACTAGGACTACAATGGTAAATAAGCTTGGGATAGCTCTTACTGCAGAGGAGTTGGTGGTTAGCAATCCAACACTTAAGGGATGAGCAGAAGTTGGGATATTGGGTCATGACATTTTCTCAGAATATAAGGAAGATCAGTGGCTGGAATCAGGGAACGGGGTGTTGGGGGTGGGGGTGGGAGGTGGAGGTAGAGGCTGGGACAGTAGCAGCAGGGAGCTGCACACACACAATTACTCCAAGAGCCCCAGGAAGGCATTAAAGAATTTGAAGGAGAGAGGTGACAGGATTGGCTTTGTAGTTCAGAGCCATCGCTTTGATGTGGATTGTTTCTCTGGGTCATAAGCAAAGAGGGTGCCATCTGAAAGTCTCCATGAATGGCTGCAGTCACCATCACTCATTGTCCTCTCATTTTTTTCAGGAAAATCCCACCAGTGCCCAGTACCACCTCACCCATCTCCACACGTATTCCTCACCGGACAAACTCTGTGCCGACATCACAATGTGGAGTCAGCTATTTGGCAGCAGCCACTGTCTCTACATCCCCAGTCCTGCTCTCGTCCACCTGCATCTCCCCAAATAGCAAATCGGTACCAGCTCATGGAACCACACTAAATGCACAGCCTGCTGCTTCAGGGGCGATGGATCCTGTGTGCAGTATGCAATCCAGACAAGTGTCCTCTTCATCCTCATCCCCTTCTACGCCCTCTGGCCTTTCCTCGGTTCCCTCCTCTCCTATGTCCAGGAAACCTCAGAAATTGAAATCCAGCAAGTCTATGAGGCCCAAGGAGTCTTCTGGTAACAGCACTAACTGTCAAAATGCCAGTAGCAGTACCAGTGGCGGCTCAGGAAAGAAACGCAAAAACAGTTCCCCACTGTTGGTTCACTCTTCCTCTTCCTATTCGTCTTCTTCCTCCTCCTCTTCTTCTCATTCCATGGAATCTTTTAGGAAAAACTGTGTGGCTCACTCTGGGCCTCCCTACCCCTCAACGGTAACATCTTCCCATAGTATCGGCCTCAACTGTGTGACAAATAAAGCAAACGCGGTGAACGTCCGGCATGACCAGTCAGGGAGAGGCCCCCCCAGCGGGAGCCCTGCTGAATCCATCAAGAGGATGAGTGTGATGGTCAATAGCAGTGATTCCACTCTTTCTCTTGGGCCATTCATTCACCAGTCCAGTGAACTGCCTGTCAACTCCCATGGCAGTTTTTCCCACTCACACACTCCTCTAGACAAACTCATAGGAAAGAAAAGAAAGTGTTCACCCAGCTCGAGCAGCATCAGCAGCAACAGCAGCAGCAAACCCACAAAGGTTGCCAAAGTGCCAGCCATGAACAACGTCCATATGAAACACACAGGCACCATCCCAGGGGCACAAGGACTGATGAACAATTCCCTTCTTCATCAGGTAGGAAATGGACTGTGAACCCCATGGGAATGCCCATTTCCTCTCCCTTAGGATCTTTTGCAAGCTCAGAAATGTGTTTGGTTGGGTTGGTTCGTTGGTTTGTAAACAGATATTCAGCTTCATGGTATATTTAAAAAAAAAAAAGTGAGTTCACTGCCATATGAAGGAAACACAGGCCTCTTCTGCCAGAATATATGGTGCCTTTGGAAGATGCTCTTGGGTAAAGAAACTATAGTAATGTGTTTTTAGTAGATAAAGCTGCAGAAGGCATCAGGCATAACGGCAAAATCAGAATTGAAGGGGAGTCCCCCTCTGAAATAGCCAATAATGTGTTGTCCCAATACTCTGAAACGTGTGCCATTCAAGGCTTTAAGGAAGGAAGCAGGCAGTGCTTCCTGGATAGTGGTTCTCTGTTATGTTCCTCTGAAGAAAGCTGGGATAAGATCAGACTGATCTAGAAAGGGGTGATTTAAGATTTAAAATGAGGCCACATGTGGTGGCTCACGCCTGTAAACCCAGCACTTTGGGAGACTGAGGCAGGCAGATCACCTGAGGTCAGGAGTTCGAGATCAGCCTGGCCAACGTGGTGAAACCCCGTATCTACTAAAAATACAAAAATTAGCTGGGTATGTTGGTACACGCTTATAATCCCGCTACCTGGGAAGCTGAGGCAGGAGAATCGCTTGAACCTGGGGGGTGAAGGTTGTAGTGAGCCGAGATTGCAGCACTGGACTCCATCCAGCAACAAAACAAGACTGTGTCTCAAAAAAAAAGGAAAAGAAAGAACATTTATTATTTTTCCCCTCAAAGAATTTCAGATATTCTGGTTAAATCTCACCCTGTATTTTCTCTTTCCATTTTTGAGAGAGGCAGGAAAACAGGATTCAGTATGGGCATAGCAGAAGACTGAAATCTCTTTCCAAGCTCATAGTTTAAAAAATCTGCATATGAACCCCATCAGTAGAGAAATGGCTGGTGGATGTGGATTTCATAATTAACTATGACTTTCTGTCTTAGGCTGTATTTTTGTCTCTTCCCTGCTCTTCTGCCTATTGCTGACCTCACCTGTAGCTGTTTCTTCCAGCTTCCTTGACTCTAACTTCCAGCTCATCTCTCATCTTGTTATTTTATTCATCAGGATATCTCCTCACCTTGCTTACGAACAGGAATTTCAGCAACATCACCCCAGAGCCCTGACTTAAAATGTGAGGCTCTTTTTTATGGTTCCCTCGCCCCCTTCTTCGGAACTTAACTCAAATGCTAGCCAGGTTAGGACTTTATCAGAAAATACCAAGAAATTTCTTAGTGTGATACATAATTTTCCTCTAACATTTGGTTGAATTAACACCCAGTGCCAATGGTATGGGGAAAATATTTGTGAACTTAAGTAGCTGCATACATTATGGGTTATTTATTATGTGTTGTTTAGCATTCTGATCAGGGAATTCCTAGACAAATGAGAAGTGTGCTTTCCCTTCTTGGTTTGTAGTTACTCATTACAGTTTATAAGCATCAATCCAGTATAAACAGAGAAGACATGGTGTACCCATTCTTCAGCACACTGTCTTTGAGAGTAGAGTCCCCAAGAGACGTGATCCCCATGGGAGGGGCATTCCATTGTGCTATAATGCCCATCTCACATCTGTATTAGTGAGCACATTTTACTTAGACAGGAGTGTTGATCTCAATGCCCACAAGTAACAGAAATGACAGAAGGGGCCAGGTGGGGCACAGCAGAGACTGGCAGTGCCTACTAGAAATCCAGAGACATGGAGCAGCTGCTTCCAGACGTTTCTTACTGTTTTAAAGAGAGGCTGCAGATCTGGACTTGGATGTGAAATTTAGTCTACACACACACACACACACACACACACACACCCCACATACACTTTTTTTCTCTTAAACCTGGTATAACCTACATATCTGTGGGCCATCTTTGGCTCATTACCTGCCATTTTGCCACCTTTGATTTGTACCCTGTAGTTGCACTGTGTCTTACAGGAACAAACCAAATAGTCTAACTTTGGGCTTTTTTCTTAAAATCAGTCTCCACTTAAGTTTGTGCTTGAGGGAAATTTTCTCTATGTAAAGTAATACTTTTTATTATGCTGCGCAAATCCTGGGGCAGGAAGAGGGGTGCTTGCTTAGAGATCAAAGAATGTTCAGAACCCCAAGAAGTGTTGCACATTTTTATGTCTTTGTTCATTTATCGTATAGCTTTCATAAGAATCTCAAAGGAACTCATGACCCCAAAACACTTTAAACAATGCTGCTGTTACAAAAGTAGGGACCTCTACTCACTGTTTCTTGGGAGCTGCCTTTAAAACAAAAATAACTGAGCTAGTTGAAGTTTTCTAAACAAGGGCATGAAGTGTGGGACATGCTGGGAAGCCTAGAAGTTGATGGGGTTGAGCAGGCACCCCTGAGAGTATGTTCATGGCCTCTGCCACCAAAGATGTTAAAAACAGCCCACTGTGAAGGCCAGAGTTTCCTCTCCCCCAGCATGGGCACTGCCTTGAGTGTGAACTGTCACACCTGTGTGTACTAGCCCTTGACCTTGTTCCCTTCTCAGTTAACAACCTGGAATACCTTCAAGGACACAAAATCAGTAAATAAAACCAAAAGGCAAACATAAGAGACTTTTCTCTAAGCTAGAAACCCAGGCCTGCATCTCGTCTGGCCAGTCGTGAGTCTGCAATGATTGTGCCCAGTAGTAGTGAAGGCTATTGAAAGCTAAGGCCAAATTCTGTAGCTGACTGTTCATGGCATCGCTCAGTCCATGAAGAGTTAGTGTGCATCCTTTGGAATATTCTTGTTTAGAATCAGGAGAGTGCAGTGTACAAACACTTACTTACCTTTTCATTATTTCCCCACCCCCTCTTTTTTGAAAGCCAAAGGCACGTCCCTGACAGCTGAAAACAGCGCGGGGAGGAATAATGCGGACACTTTTGAGGAGAAGTTACACCTCCACTCAGCACTCTGGACTCCACGATGCCTTTGAGTCTGTTTTCCCAACCTCCTGTGGGCCTCAAGGGTAGAAACCTGCCGGGCTGTTGTTTTAACGAGGATTTCCCTGAAGCTATGTCTGTAGCAGTGAGTATACTCATAAAGGACACTGGATCAAGTTCAGCCACGGAATTGCTTTTATCAGTGTTAAAGTGGTCTGGACTGCTTGCTACCAATCTGTGAGAAGTTTCTGTTTTGTTTTTCAACTTGTAATATATCATGGAGCCACTCTTCAAGTAGATTGGCTGGGCAAAAGAATGTTTTGGAAAGAGTGTTACTCTAGAAGACCTTTCTCCCTCCTTCCTTTTACTACCATTTTTTTAAACACTGTCATCTGTAGGTCACTCTCCAGCAGTTAGACACCTTAACTGGAGACCAGAAACCTTCCAGAGGAGAGAGGGCTGCATCCTGACCAACTCTCTGAAGAAGGGAATTAGGCTTTAGATTTTGTCAGCTGTGTTTCAGGCTAATGGACATTAGCATAAGGTACCATGACAAAATAGCCCAGCCTTAAAGTAATTTGGGAACAGAAGCTGTCAGAAATTTCTAACTTACAAACTGGTTTGAAATTTTTGATGCCCAGACAACACGTATAAACTTGTTTTGGAGGCTTACTTTTCGTGATGCAAAAGCAATTCTGTGTGACTATAAAAAAGAAGAAAGAAAATGCAAGCTAGTTTTGAGAAATGAAGGCCAAATTGGGTTGGGGGAGGGTGGGAGTAAGGAAGTTAAAATCACTATAGGGAGAAAAAAACTTTTTTCAAGATTTCCAAAGAGATGACATTTTCTTAATCCTTTAAGTTTTCATGGTAAACAGTATGTCAGATTGGGTTGGTTGTCCTACCTAGTCTATTTTTAAAAGTCACTTTTTAAAGTGACATTATTAGATACGCTTAACTGTTTTGAAGGCACTCTGTGCATTACTCTTCTTTTCCTCTTTGGATGGTGTCCTGGGACTAAGTGTTGATTTCTGCTTCAAACACTTTTGGCACTGGGTGTGTATGCCTTCCCTCATGCCACTCCAGATGTTTATTTGGATGTGGCTGAGGACGAGAGCAGACATCAAGGGAAGGGAATTGGAGAATGTGTGCGTCCGACCTAATCCTATTCACAGAATTGTAATCCGTGTATAGGATTGCCGTGATACACACCCTCCTTTCTTGGGATTATACCAGCCATCTTGCTGAGAGTTTTGGAGCCCTCTAAGATATTTTTTCTAGTACCTCACCCCTAAAGAAAAGAGCTTAATGTGTTAAAATAGGATTGCTTGGAGAAGGTGTCATTGAATTCGAGGATGAGCTGGAGCCTTTAAATGGGTGATTCAACCACTACAGGCTCCTGACAAGAGAATCAGACACTTTTGCTTAGAAGAACACACAAAGTTGCTGAACACAGGGTAAAATTTCCAAGGCGCTGATCATTGCTCTGGCCAGGGCTTGATGAGAGCCAGTCAGTACATCCTTTTTTTCCTACAATTCTTGGGTTTCAAACTTCAGTTTCAGGGAATTTCAAGTCAACAACAGGTAGAATGAATAAACTTGGTTACCAGCCTAATAATGTGAATTGCTACAGAATTTATTATGTAAGAAAACAAAAACTTTGTGCAGATACTTTAACTATAAGTTGATGTAAAATACTGATTTTTTTTTTTAAAGGAAGGAGAGAACAGTATCTTGTTCAATTATTATGCAATCAGTGAGTAAATGTTTTTAAAATGATACTACAAGAGAGCTTAGTAAGGAGAGAGCATAGATGGGCCAGTTTGGCATAGTTAGGAGAAATCAATCTGGTTTCCATCCCAGTGGGGAAAGAGAGAAGAGGTGAGAGGGAATCAGAACGTACCTAGTTGATTCCTTGGTGACAAGTGCAATGGGGTATGGGTAGAATTTATTTTCAGAGCCAAGGGGACTTGATGGTTATAAATAAAGTTGCCTTTAGCAATGGAATTTATAGACAGATCACGTTGTTCCAAAAGATGTGAATAAGCTCCACGATAAGTTGATTCAGAATAATGTAGATATTTAGATTAGCAAGTATTGAACATTTGATTTCTTAGACTGAGGTTTTAATTGAATTTCATTATGTCTCCCGGTAACACACAGAGCATCGGGGTTAGGAAATTAGCCATTTTGGATTCTGCCTGCCACAAACAGACCTATTCTAAACAGTGCTATTAAATTTTAGACTGTTGTTCAAATATTTTATTTTCTCCTACAACTACTTTTTATTATGAACAATTAAGACCATTTAAAACACTGAAGTATTTTTTTAATTAAATTAACTTGCAAAAACCAAATTTGCAGTGGTTGGGTTGTTTCTAGACAGACTTTGGTATCAATTTAAAACCAAGATAATTTTTATATTCTTTCCAATAGAATTTCATGACAACTCCTGCAATTTTCTTAACCTACAAAAAAAAAAAAAAAGTGCTGCAATGATGAACAAAGAATTATACAAAACCTACTTTTGTATCTTTATTTTGGAATTTCCTGTTCTATTATAAATATGGAAGTATCCCTATTTCAGAAGACATATTTTGTTAAAAATGAATTGTACATATTTAAATATGTATTTTTGCACACGTCTTTTTTTCTGATACCCTGTTTTGGTACAACTGAGATCATCTAGTATTTATTTATTAATTAATAAAAGTAAATACCTTTTTATAATTTGAAGTGGTTCACTGCCAAGCCAATAGTTCTAGAACCTGCCTCCTTTACAGTTTAAGGGATGCCTCTGTTCTGTGAAAGTCTTTGTCTCTTTTAATGTCTTGGGAATGGATTCATACAGATGAAAGTGGGCATTGCTTCTCCCTAGTTGCCTGGTTTCCCTGGTTTCCCGGTAGACTACATGTAACTAAGTGACACACTGCTTTTCTTTTGTTAGTATTTTATGTGTGAGAGTGAGTGTGTGATTGTGTGTGTGCGCGTGTGTGTACACTCTGAGCACATGAGTGTTAGTATGTGATGTGGTTTAAAACTAATGGAAAAAACTGAAAGTGCCTGAACCTAGTTTTAAGCTTAGACAGAATCTCTTTAAAAAGACTTGAATGTTCAGTTGAACTTTTTGGAGTTTGCTTTTTCCACCTAAATATTGTTTCTAAAATTTTAGAGGAGGAGTTGAGAACCATCAATGCTTCTAATTTTGTAAGGTATTGTAAAATTAAGACCTTTTGGTTCATAGTAATTCAGTTTTCAATTGGTGATGGATTGCCTGGTGACACCAAGAGTTACAAATCTTTTTGTCAGCCATCAACTTACACGATGTGTCCATTTTGTTATTCACTCATGAAATACAATTTAAAATATTTTGTATTCCAAAAATATAATACAAAGAAGTACCTCTGAGAACATTGAAAAAATGTATAATTTGAAAAATGTAACTTATAAAGGCAGCTGTCTTCCTGCAAGAGTTCTGTTGCCAAGGAATTTCTTAATGTCTCTCATTCTGTCCGGGGAGGGGTTGGGGGGATTGGGCTTTGAAAAATTGTTGTTAAAAATTTCATTGTTTAGCAGAAAATAATCATTTTTACATTTTGTGCAAACATTTTACCTTTTCAGATCATTTAAATGAGCACTACATACTGTCAGTGTGAATGTAGGGCCTTGAAAGCATTTTGCTATTTTTTTTTTTTTGAGCTTGGTTATAAAAGCAATCTCCTGTGTTAAAAACGTGTGAATAGTTTGATAATTTGTACACATAATCAAGAGCATCTCAGCTGGACTTTGTGTTGGCTGCTGTATAGAACATGAACAAATGTCAAGGGATAGAAAATTACTTTGGATATTTAAAAGAGAAGAAATATATAGTCTATTTGTTTTGTAACAAGTTTCTGTAAATAAAATAATTTATACTATTTATAAGAAAAGGTTGTGCTTTGCTTTATAAGAAATTAGCTTGTGGAACAAACATGTTACTGAACAGGCAATAAAATTAGGACTTCTCAATAAATAAGGTTGGTTGCATGAAATATTTTACATGTTTCTGCCTCGTTGTGATACTAAGCATTTCAGTCAACTGTGACTTTTCATCACCTTTGGCATTGAACACCCTTGTTTGTGAAGCCCCTTCACTTTAGGCTCCCTCTTAATACAGGCTAAATACTTCTAAGTCGATTCTAAGGCTTAGAGATGTTTCCATTTGGGGGCACAAAGCTTTGCCTTGGATAAATTAGTAACTCTGTAAACAGTGAACACTACTGTATTCTGGCCTTGCATGTTTGTGAGGGAAACGAGGGAGTTGGATTGAGAAGCACATTCTGTTTGTACTTGCTTATGTGTAAATTTGATGACATGTAGTTTTGGTTTAAGATAACCTTTTTATCCAGACCTGGTCTATCTTCCTTTTTCTTTACATACCTCCCTTACTGGCAATACAAGTACATTTTAGTATTATTTGGAACACAGCGTAATTGTTTACCTCTAGAAATCCGGTCAGTTTTACTGTTTGCAAATAAATCATGCTGATAAATTATTTTTGTGGCTTAAAATAAAAGGAGTAACTGCTTTGGGTGTTAGAAAAACTGTCCATACCTGATATGAAAGAGTCAGGTTGGCTTCAGTTCCTACTGCCCTATGGACTTTCCATTCCCTCCTTATTTAGGTCAGCCACTCACTCAGCATTCTCCACAAATCTAATCATTAAGTGCTCTCTGTAGGCAAATCTTTCACCATGGATGTCCTCAGTCCTCCCAAGAAAAGGTTCTGCTGCTCAATCTCTTACTCTTTTTAATTCCATTCCCTTGCAGGTATCCTGGCCCTGTATAACAAGATGATCCCAACTCAAGGAAAGGGGTTTACCAGTGTTGGATCTTGGCATATGTGGGATTTCACCAGGCAGAAAGGCAGGCAGAGTAAGATTCTAGGCAGAGCGAGCAAATGCGTCGAGCATGGATATGAAGTTGTGAGGCATAGAGAATAATTCTGCGGGAAGTTTGCTGAATGGAAGTGCCTTATAGGGTTAGAGAAGCTGGTGTCAGACTGTCAAGGACCTTGCATGTCTTGGGACTTTTCATCCAGGAACACATGAGATTAGGCTTAGATTAACCCAAATGTAACTGTCAGAGCACAGAGATATTTCATGGTCCAGTCCGAGCACCATGCAGCTGCCAAAAGTCAAAGCCATTCAAATCTGTACTGAAGACTGGAAAATCAAAGGAGCACTAAAGTCTCTTTTCCTGCTCCTGTCCCCAGCCCTAACTAAAAGCACTCCTCTAAATCAAGTCTGAGTTCCTCTCCCTTCTCATTCCTTTCTTAGTGTCCTCTTTCTCGTTAAGTTCTTGCTGCTTTTGTTAATGGAGGTTAATTAGTCTTTTACCTTGTAATTCTTGGCACTTGTTATCCTCCTTTTCAACATTCAAAACCCATGAACCAGAATATCTCTTAGGAGGTAAGAGAGGGTGAGACTATCAGCGGAAGAAAAATTCTCCAGGGGGAAGGGGAGAATTAAATACTTATAATTTAATACTTTGTCAAAAAAAACATCTCTGCCACCTATGGCCCCACAATAACAGTGGAAAACTGAATCGACAGGTGAGAGCCTCGGGACAAAAGTTCCAAAGCTGTTGTAATCCAGGTAAGAACTATTAAGTTTCCAAACTCGGGCTGATCATGAAGGTTAACTGAAACTGATTTCAGAAATGTTTTAAAAGTGGAACCATCAGGCCTTGAGGCCTAATTCTGTTCAACATTAAAGGGACGAGTGAATCTAAGATTTCAGATTTCTAGCTTGGCCAAACCAATTGAGTTTTAAGTGAAATGTGCGGTATGGCAACAGAGAACGACCTAACGATAGATTTGAGCTGCTGGTGGGAAATTCTAGTTTGGTGCCCAACTGGCTGGCTGTACAGGCTGGATGGACCTTAGGAGGGAGGTTTGAGCTGGAAAATAGGAATGGAGAGTTGTCTTTTACTTTTAGATGATCGATGACGTCATAAGAGTAGATGAGTTTACCTGGGAAAATTAGGTAGCTATTAGATTTGGCTTACGATGTTAACATAATACTTCTCTAGTAAGTACTTCATATGCCAGATACTATTCCAAGCATTTCATATACATCCTCTCCTTTACTAAGCCCTCATAGGACAGGTATTTTGATTTGAGTCATACTGATGAGGAACTCCCAAGAAGGTATCCTGTTTAAGGGCCCACAACAAACAGGTGGCAGATCCAGGGTAATTCAGGCCTGTCAGATCAGTGATTCTTAATTTTGCCCCTCCTCAGGCTCCAGGAATCACATGAAAGAAGTTATGGATCCTGTCTGACAGAGGCAGAGGCACACCACATTCATATATTCTGCTTCCAGGATATCACAGACCTGAAGCCCATCCTCCATGGTCCAGAGAGAAAACCTAGGACAAAACCTTGGAGAAGACTATTTTCGTGAAGACAAATGGAGAACACTAGAGTAAAAAGAGTTAAGGGAAGGCAGAGAAGGGTGAGACTGAGATGGTTTACAGAAGTTTAGAGTCGATTGCATTAAAATTGCCAATGCCATCTATCCATTTAGGTAATGTTCTGTTCTGCTGTTTTCTTCAGAATCATTGGAACAGCATGTATTGGTTGGGTGGAAAAGTTAGAACTTAGGCAGGGAGACTGCCAAAGAATTAAGAGTATTAGTGAAGATGTGGCTGAGTGATTGATAATGCTCTGAATTGGGTATTCAAGGAAGAGAACTAGAAGCCTACTATGTAGAATCTACACAGGTACTCTAAGACATGGGTTTGATTGGAATTACCTTCTTGTTAGCTCTTAGGAATCTCCTTCCATGTAACTTTTTCTATGATTAGACAATTTATTTGTTCAGGGTCACAGAGCAAAGTCCACATTCAATACCATATGGCCAATAAAAGTGAGGGGCCACAAGGCAGGATCCAGGGGCCAGAGTGATCAAAGTGATACCACACTTTTAGGAACAGGACAGGGAATGGAGGAATTGGAATTCCAGTATTTTCAAAAGCAGAACTGGCCAGAGGTGCTTGTGATTCCTGGGTGGAAACCATAGCAGTGGACAGAAGCACCATGGAGGAAAAGAGCACTGGAATTCAGGCTGATGAACTGTGAAGCAAGGGTGTTGTCTACGTTGTCCATTTCAAAATAGGGTTGGGAGGAAGACTGAGCCAGCTCCTTGGTTCTGGGAAGAACTGCATGAAAGAGGGGAGAGTGACTTGAAGTGTGTTTGAGGACAGCATGCACAGTGAATTGATGGTGTTGCTGGGTTGTAAGCAGCTTCAAAGAGAAGGCATTTTGAATGAAGGTGTAAACAGAATGGCCAGGAGAGCCAGCAGAGGACTATAAAAAGTGAACTTCATCTTGGCCCCAAGTTTTTGAGACTAGTATATGAATAAACTAGTCTCTAACCCAGAGGATTTCAAGACAAGAGTCCTCAAAAACCAAAGGTAGAGCTTCCCCACATTGATACTATACTAATTACATGTATAACACTACTTTGGAAAAGCACAGGTCTCTGGTCACCTCTAAAAGGCAAGGTTGGTAAGGTTGTCAGGGTGCCACCTGCTGGTGGTCTTAACCAAATGGTCTCTACAAGGGATCTCAGGATGGAAAGGGGATAAATAATGGTTAAAGGCTCATCATTGATTAGCAAATTGTCTTTTGTTTCTTAAACTCAATCTGTACAGGGAAGATTATTCCACTGTAAGAGATTACACTTTGACCATGTTGGACCAGACTGCTACAAATTCCTGATAGCCTTTGTATTCCTTCAGAAACAAGCATAATGCAAATCTTTGGCTCTAAAGCTTTGGAACCAAAACTAGTGATTATCAGAGCTTTTCATGTTTTCCAGATAGGGATTTTACCTTACTCCCCCATTACCATTGTGCAGGCACAGGTTTGTTACCAACTACGAGTTTATGTGGCGGCATTGGGAAGGCCAGGGATTATCAGTTCCCTCCACCCTTTTCCCCCCTTAATCACCAGGGCAGATATTTTAACTGTCAGCTGTTCATCCTCTTAAAAACATTAGGTTAACAGCAGCACCAAAGACTAATTCAGAATATGAAATTACAACTGGGCACGGTGGCTCATGCCTGTAATCCCAGCACTCTGGGAGGCCAAGGTGGGTGGATCACAAAGTCAGGAATTTGCAACCAGTCTAGCCAACATAGTGAAATCCTGTCTCTACTAAAAATACAAAAAATTAGCTGGGTGTGGTAGCATGTGCCTGTAATCCCAGCTACTTGGGAGGCTGAGGCAGGAGAACTGCTTGAAGCCAGGAGGCAGAGGTTGCAGTGAGCCGAAACTGCGCCACTGCACCCCAGCCCGGGCAACAGTGCAAGACATTGTGCAAAAAAAAAAAAAAAAAAAAAATTACAGAAATAATTTGCTAATGATTAGTAGCCTTCTATCAATTAAGGACCAAATGTGTTCAGTCTTAAAACCCTAAGTATACTGGAGTATTGCAGGCTCAGTCACCAAGTTGTAGGCATCCTTTTAGCCATCTAGGGCGGGTAAATTTGGTTGCATAACAAGTGATTTTTACACTGTTTCTGTCCTAAGAGATACTGCTAGCTAAAAATTGACCTAAAGCTGTTTCAAATACAGGAAATAGATTACCATAATTTGACACAGCTTTAAAATATTTATCTTTTACTGGATAGATCTGCTATAAAATCAAATTTTGAGATAAGAGAAACTGGCATTGTTGCTTTAAAAATAATCACAAAAGATAGTTTATCCTGGTGATAACATTTCACACTAGGATAATTAATTTTGACTGAAATCAGGGTTGTTAAAAATAAGGTTAAGTTTCCAACTTCAAAAGAAAACATTTACCGATACGAAAAGAAACTATACCTAATTGTTTTAGCTCTGTCACTCTGCAAATAAAACTATCATTTGATGATCTTAT